ATGTCCAATGGAAGCATATCCTTGCATGACATTAAAGTTCAATGAGTGTTCTTTCTAAATATGATGCAGTAATAATTTGGATTAAGAGAAAAAGAACTATCACGGGAACAATCTGCATTTATGCTGAGAGAGTAACACAACAGTAGCAGGACTAAATTGCCACAACTGAGAAAAGGAGATCTTCACAATAGCAGCTTTATGAACTCTAGACACAAAATCCATCCAACTCACTGAAACATTTGCCAGTTAATTACACTCCATATAATCATGCTTTGCAGACTGGGTTAATCTACCAGCTGATTTTAGCAAAAGGCTGAGAATTAAGTTGATACATAAACTGCACGGCATACCAACAAAATTTACTTTGGCAATGTCTCAGCAAGGAAACTGGCAGAGTAAGACTAAATGCTTCCAAAACTTTCTCCTCAGAATACGGTTCAACTCATGAATAGAGGGAGCGATACAAAACCCCCCATTCATCTCAGTTGTTTTAGAGCTGACTGGAAATCTAACAGCACAGCAGCAAGCAGGACTTCGCATTAAACATTTTAGCCACTCAGACTCAAGTGCCCATGGAAAAGGTGCGTTATGGAACAAAATGTATTTACACAAAATCATTTATTAACTATTCTGTTTGTAAGTCAGAAATACTTCCATCATTTACACCCACAAAAGAAGTCCACAGAAACTGCTTGGTAAAGAAACCAAGTATTCAAAGACTTCTACGGAAGAGCTTTAGCGGGGAGTTTCTGTGGACTTCAGTTTCATTTGTGGGTGTAAATGATGGAAGAGCTTCGGCATGAATGTGAATTAAGTACTAGAGAAACACTGTATTAGTGCAAGGATCTCATAGCTTCTTATCACTCTTATAAAACTGAATTGCTACAGATACAGCCACAACATTGATTTTTGTTACACTCTCCTGGGACAGCAAGCTAGAGCAGGGGAGAAGAGGAAGAATACTTGAACACTATTTAGACTGCCTCACCATTACCTCCATTCTCATATTTAATTTTTGTCAGAGATGGTAAGTTCACTGTTTCTACAGTTATGAACTTTTCTCTTCGTTACAGTAATTTCTCGGCCTAACTCTGCCTGACTTAAGTCACAGCATCTTAAGGCCCATTAAAAAGAACAACAAAACCTATTAGCATTACTTTACCACCATCTTGCCCTCTATACACTTTACTTGCCCTTGGTGGCAGAGTTGCATTTTTAATGTTTATAGACCACCTAGCACAGAGGTCTACTGATGAACAACCACAGTACCAGAAAGAAACCTACACTATGAAACCAATACATACATTTTCCCTGCTGCTACTCTCAGAAAAGCTTTGGGCACGCTACCTGCACTGAGGGCAGTATGAGCCTTCCCAATCTCTAACTTCACAGAAATGCTGCCTGCAGGAACAGTATAAAAAATTAACATTGCAGCTTTCTGATTTATATGAGAGGGTCTTTGATTGTACTTACTGATAACTGAACTTTTGCCATAAAAAAATCTAGACTGATATAATTTGTTGCTCACCTTTTAGCCCATTCTCCATCCCCAATCACAAATAATTATTACTTTAAAGATCATCAAATTGAGTTGACAGCATTCCACAGTAGGCTCAAAATACATTTAAGATGGCCTGTACAATTCAGAATGCTTTAGGTAACAGTAAAAGTATACCTGCATATCTCAAGGAGAAAGACAACCCCATTCTACTACTGTTGAAACAAGTTTCTTCCCTCAGCATTGCTTCCTGCAAGGACATCACTTTCACACCTACGAACAGAAATAACATTTGAGATGCTGTGTTTCTTTTCCTTTCCTTATTCCAGTCATCCTATTCCTAGAAACAGTAAACACACACACAAAATTGTGCTAGCTTTTTACTCATACGTGCTTGCATATTTTACTCCACATGCTTTATACCTTTGAACTTCACAACCAAGCATTTACCTCCTTTACTATATCTCAATTACAGTGGCAAAATACTTTTATTGATGCTTATAATAAAAATGAAATTATGTGGATACACAAAGAATTTCACTCTTCTGCTACTTCATATGCATATACTCCATATTTACGCTGAAGCCTCTAAGCTTATAGCATTCAATGCAGTGCAATGCAAAAGACCAAAATCCAAGATCGCTTCTCTTTTTAATCATTTGCATGACTCTCTAGTCCCAAAGGTACTTTGCCACTACCCTTCCCTAAAGGGAAGGGCTAAGATGGAAAGAAGAGAGAAGTGCTCTACCACCTTTACACAAATTTGGCAACCAGATATCATTTCCTTCTGGCACCCAACCTTTTAAATTGAAACAGTGCAACTTTGTTGTTTTTTTATGACATGTTTATACACACATTCATTCAATACCATTTGGGTGGAACCTGTCTTTACAAGATTACATTTATAGCAAGATGTGTAAAATACCATCAGTCTCCAGTATGATAAAAACTGCAGAAGAATCCGAGAAGGTACCTCAAAAAGCAAGCCTGAAGTTCCATTGTTCGGTTTATTTCAGCAGGGACAGCGCAGTCGGTCTAACCCTACCGGTTGCGCTATAACAACACACCATCAGTAAGTCAGAAGGGTGAAAATGGGGGCAAATTTAGGTTTTTGCCTTTATTTATTTAGTTTTTCCTCAGTCTGTGAGAAGAATGGACACCCGATATCCTGCCTTCCAACAGGTATGTTTTGTAAAGAAAGGCACTACTAGCAACATAGCTCAATCATTTCTTTTTTTCTGCATAATATCCAAGGCAAAATCTACGTAAATCCCACCGAACTATAGCTGTTAGTGTGCTGCATATTTACAAAAGACAAAATCTCTCTTCTCTTTGCTGGCAGGGCTGCATATCTTTTCCTCAATCACAGTCATAGGCAAGACCATGAAATGACAGATGCCCAACACCTGCAATTCCCTACAATGTATTTATTAGCCCATATATGCTGTGTTACCTGGCTTTATTTTGATCACAGAGGGAATTTCTGAAGTGTCAAACATCACTCCTAAGTTGAAGAAAAGGTCACTACAGTGTCTTTGAAGCACCGCTACACACTAGTGACAGAAAAGCAAAGATTGAGTTTCATGCCTGCAAGTTTTACTTAAACAAATGGCCCCAGTTTGCCTACTCACTCAGGTGCCTCTGTTAGTTTTCCCATAATTGTGAGGTCGGCGGTTAAACGAAATGGCAGATTCATCACTGATACAATCTTTGTCCAAGGTTTACAGTCCTTTAATTTGTGTGCTTTCAGGGTTTGAGGGCATTTTTCAGTAGCTTTTCTTTATCCTGAAGGGATTTGGGTATCCTTAACAGGGACTAAATTAATCCTTACATCAAACGATACCAGAAACATGGCCTTCACTTGTTGTCAATTCAGAATTAAAAACGAAATTGCTTTCTCAAAAAGCAAAAGGAACACAGAACACAGGCAGAAATTACACAGAAAAAAAGATCACAGTCAATACTTCAGTGTCTACAATGTAATTAGAGAATTGATAAAAGAGTAAATATGCCCATGCCTGTTGATCATAAAATTCTGAATTCACCCTATATATGGGTATTTGAGCACGTAAATTAAAGTTAATAGAAAGGCAAAATCATGGCAGGAGGGGGAAATAATAGCAACTGGGGGTAAACTAAAAAACAAAACTTCACGAAGAAGTCTACAACTATCAAACAAATAGACACTGTACTAGTTCCAGTCACTAGGCTTAGGTACAAATACTCATTCTTATGAAAGGCCCCCACCCAACAATGTGCTGAAAATCTACTATTTCAGAGAGAAATGTTGAAAAGCATCTTTTCCTTCATTAATAAGGTATTTTTGTCTTACCCATAACACCTAGCATGTTTTTTTCTTCAAGTGCAGGTGGAAAAAATTGCAAACTACTAAAGACTAGAGGGCTAACTAGAAATTTCATATTCATACCAGATAGTTATCACACCTTAAGACTTCCCACAGCAACTGATGGTTGTTTTGACCGATTTCTAAAGAACTGGCATAAGATTCTCCACACAAATTTTCAAAAATTTCATATTATCTTTTAATGAAATAGTGATGTTTTTAGCTAAATTCTCCGCTGGTCAGAAGTTGGCTTACAGACCTAACAAACAGTAAAGAGGCTCTATTCACTGGTCTTTATAACCAAATTAAGTAATCTTGACTACTGAAGGTAAATAAATTAAAACCAGTAATAACTGGGTTTGTGACTCTTGGAAGAAAGGAAATAAAAATTGTGTCTGCTCAGTAATACATACATGAAAGAAAATTTGCTGTTTAAGAAACATCTGAACCTTTGCCATAACAAGTTACTGTGCTCTGTGCTGTAACTTAGACTATAAGATGGACCTGCTGTTTCCTAGTTTTCAGTATTCTTAAGAATGGTTAAAAAAAGTGTTATTTCAAGACTTGTTTCAGAAATTCTTCACAACCCACCTTCCTTTTTTCTGGTAATCTCGGTATTTTAATAAGCCCACCAATTTGGGGGGGGGAGGGGGGAGCAGAATCAACATAGTTTGCTGAGTAAAGAACTGTGTAAAGAAAAATGGACCACTATATACCTTTACCTAGGACAAATATCATAGAACCACAGAAAAACAGCTAACTTTAAACAATTTTAAATTAGTTACATTTTATTAATATTTACAAATGAAAACTGTATATTTACAATGTAAACACTTCAAATTAACCTAACTTGTGAAAAAAAAAATCCTCAAGCATTTGACTAGCAGAACACAATTTATCTCCCTGATTTCAAAAGGAAACAGAAGTAAGCTATGTCAAAAAGCTGTTTCTTTCACTTTTGGAGGGAAATTACAAGCAGAAACCTATTTTAAACTAGATAAATTAACATGACTTAATTCTCATACCAATGCAGGTTATTGAGGCGCATGCATAATAATAAAATCAAGCCAACTCAATGAAATGTGTTAACTTCAATTTAGTTAGAAATTCAGGAAAAAAAAAAAAAAAAAAAGCTTTGTTCTACAAGCAGAAAGAGCCTTTTTTTTTTTTTTTTTGCTTGGAGAAGTTTTGATTTTCCTTATGTAACACTTCTACTAATCCTTTATTCAAACAGATCTTAATAATGACTATCTGCTATTGCAGATTCCTTTCTCAGGAAGGAAAAACATTCTGTTTACTTCACTGATGGGAATATCCCTCAATGCTGGAATTGCTTCTTCTTGAAATTTCTTCTGTTGCTGCTTTTTTGCATAGTTATCTACAGGAGACAATGAGAACATTCCACATATTAAAGACTTTTTCTTTCAAGAAATGTTATATAATGCAACGCAGTATAAATTTAGCCACTGTAAGTGAAGCTGAAAACCCCATCTTGCTGAGGTTTAATGAGATGGTCACCAGAAACACTTTACATCAACACATATTAGCAGATCCTTAGTTCTAATCTGATCTAATCTCCTACTGCAATCACTCTCCGTGACTTTGCTTGGTTTAAGATGCTGTATGACATTAAACCATAACTACCCAAAAATAAAAAGAACAAACCAACCCCTCCAAGTGAACAGCTCAGTCTGTACTAGGATTTCACTGAGAGAAGCTGCCCTCCCTCCCTTCATCTTGGCTGCTTGTTCCCATCACCACACCATTCCTATAACAGCATAAACATTTTTACAGGTGTACTTTGAACACAATTATGGAACTGTTCCCTCTAAAAAAGAAAACTTTCAAATGTGGTTGTTTTTCAAACACAGTTGGTCCCCCATTCCACCTGCCATACAGCCCCACAAATTCTTGGGTTGACATCAAATGACAGGGTGACATGAGAGTGTGAACGAGTAGCCAAAAAGCCAGGGATGACTAAATGGCAGTTCTTGACAGAAGCACTGGACTAACGCTTTTGAACTACAGCCTTGACCAATTTTTTCCTTAGCAGTTCAGTGTAATGTAATACTATGAATATCGTTTGTTAAAACTACGCAACTTCAGCAGTCTTAGCAATAGGTCACTTTCTTGCCAAATTTTACAGTCTGCATTTTTTCTAACAAAAATGGCCACCTGCAAGCAGTGGTGGAATTTCTCATGGGGAGGAAGATGCAGCTGAGAGAAAAACTGAGTAACAGCTTTTTTAGGCAGGAAATTGCTATTGTACGTGATCAGCTCTGAATACTGCAGCATCCTCCTTTACGCCACCTTACACTCCGTGTGCCTTCCCACTTCTGCCACTGCCGGGTAGATACTTGTGCCCCTCTTCCCATGACACTCTTCACTGGTTTGTAATACAAGGTGTATGCTTGGGAGAGCTTTGTACACCTAACCCCTGTTCCTCTAATGTTGTCTGTTTTACTAATAAAGTACACTTCAGTAGTTGGAAACCACGGCCGTGAGACAGCAAAGAGGGAAGAGCCAAGCTCGTGGCTATCTTTTCACTCTAATACTTCAGTACTTCCAAGAACAACTTTTTTACACCAAAATATTTAAATGCTTAAAATTTTATGTATATTATTGTCCTGGTTTCAGCTGGGACAGAGCTAATTTTCTTCCTAGTACCTGGCATAGTGCTGTGTTCTGGATTTAGGATGAGAAGAATGCTGATAACACACTGATGGTTTAGTTGTTGCTGAGTAGCGTTTACACCAGTCAAGGGCTTTTTCAGCTTCCCCTGCTCTGCCAGGTGCATAAGAAGCTGGGAGGGGGCACGGCCAGGACAGCTGACCCCAGCTGGCCAAAGAGGTATTCCAGAGCATACGGCATCATGCTCAGTATATAAGCTGGGAAGAGTTGGCCAGGGGCAGTGATCGCTGCTTGGGGACAGGCTGGGCATTGGTCAGCAGATGGTGAGCAATTGCATCACTTGTTTTTCCTGGGGTCTGTTCCTCTTTGTTGTTGTTATTGTTCTCCTTTTCACTACAATTTGTTATTATCATAATATTTTATTTCTGTTATTAAACTGTTATTATCTCAACCCATGAGTTTTCTTACTTTTGCCCTTCTGATTCTCTCCCCCATCCCACTGTGGGAGTGGGGGAAGGTGAGCAAGTGGCTGTGTTGGTGCTTAGTTGCAGGCTGGGGTTAAACCACGACAATTATATATGGCTACAAACATACATATTTACAGAAATTATCAGTTGAGTATAAAAATCTTAAAAAAAATCCCAATAAAATTACCTGTAATGGTATTCGTGGAGTTAAGTGGAGCTGTACTCATCATGTTAATACCAAAGAGTAATATATAACCAATCCCTACAGCAACTAGTAGGTACACTGGCAAAGCAACTGCCCAGTACCTGAGGAAAAAGATTTTAAAATGTACATATCATAATAACAAATGCCTAAAGATATAACAGTTTTAACATAGTGGTTGTATCCAGCACAAACTTAGCCAGGAAGAAAAGAAACAGCACTTCTGAATGAGGACCCCAGTCTCTCCCAGGAAGGTTACCAACTGCAGAGTCACTGCAGCTAGTTTGGTGTAAACCATCAAATAGATTCCTTACAGAAGGTTTTGTATTTTTTTAATTACAGTTTAAAGTTTACCGTATTTTCATCAACAAACTTCCTGGAAACAAAACATCAAATTTATGATAAAAACATTCAAATATTATTTCTTTCATTACACCATGGAAAATTTTCATTATAGCTACTTCTCTACATAAAATAATGCTTCACAAAGATTACATTCCTTTATCATCAGGAAAAACTGGATTAAATACAAGACCACTATTTAGGAAAAAAATTTTTGCTCTTTGAAAATAATTGAGGGTGTGCTATACTCACATATATTCAGGCTAGAGGGTTTAACTGGTTGAACTTACTTTTGAGGCCAATATGTTAGTCCCAATGAGAACAGCCAAGTCTCAGGAACATATGCCCAGATAAGATACAAAACTGCACAGAAAAATTAAAAAGTCATAATAGTACAACTGATACTGTTTTAGACTTACTTCCTAAGTTTTAGAGCAATACTTCCCTACCGATACATGCTAAGACAGTATTTTGCTTTTACACTATTTAAACCAAAATAGCTCTACCAAAACATTGTGCTTCTCGGACACAAAACCTGCCCAATATGGGGGCAACGTTTTGCGTTTTGTATATTATGATATAATTTTTATATTTGCTTTAACATTTACTTTCTGATTTCCTATGTAGACAGACAAGAATTTCTTGCACATTGAACTGCAAAACAAAGAAACCCTCAGTAAAAGGATGCCAAATGACACTGAATACAGAAAATATTAAAGCAGGTAATGATCACAGAGCGGGTCATTTGACTGAAAGAAAAGTTGGTAGAATGGCAGTAAGCTGCTTGGATGGAACCGTTCAGAAAGCGTTACTGGAAATACTTTCTGATTCTTGGTAAGTTAATCATTTTCATGTCAACAAAACCAATACTGAGAAATTTTGCTCCCTAACAACAAATCCAGAGTAAGGTTTAACAAAACTTGAGGGGAACAGGTTAGTAGCCAGTGACACAACGAACAGTGGCTTCCTGTGAGAGAAACAGAAACCAACATACTTTCACGTCTACTTACACCCTAAGGGTGAGAAAGACTTACAGCAGGATCCTGGTTTATTATACGACTGCAGTACATTTGCAGCACCTTTTCTTGTGTTGAAAAAGTGCTCTCGCTCCCTCAAGCCTTGGTCCTGCATGGGCACGCAAGATACCCCCAGCGAAATGCTAAAGCACCTGTCACACCAGCAGAGAAACGCTGGTATAACCCTAGTAATTTCCTATCGCTGTTGACAAGACTGACTTTAATTTTCAGTACTTGGGTGGGGAAGGTTGCATGACTACGACCTACAGTGGTTACTGAGCAGTGACAACTTGAGCAATTCAAGTAAAATAGTGACTAAAACGAGAAGGCGGAGAATTTTTTTTACATAATTTGACTCTGCAGTACTATTAAAGAAAGACCCCATAATAATATATAATAATAATATGAGGACAGGCTGAGAGAGTTGGGCTTGTTCAGTCTGGAGAAAAGAAGGCTACGGGGAGACCTGATTGTGGCCTTCCAGTACCTAAAGGGGGCCTATAGGAAAGATGGGGAACGTCTTTTTAGTAGGGCCAGCTGTGTTAGGACAAGGGGAAATGGTTTTAAACTAGAACAGGGTAGGTTCAGGCTAGAGGTAAGGAAGAAATTTTTTACAATGAGGGTGGTAAAACACTGGAACAGGTTGCCCAGAGAGGGGGTGGAGGCCCCATCCCTGGGAACATTCAAGGCCAGGTTGGATGGGGCTCTGAGCAACCTGATCTAGTTAGCAGTGTCCCTGCTCACTGCAGGGGGGTTGGACTAGATGACCTCTAGGGGTCCCTTCCAACCCTAAACATTCTATGATTCTATGAATAAGGTTAAAGACAGACACAAAAGGCAATGGCAGATCTCTGCAACGACTGACAGCTCGGGCAAGTAGCGCCCACTGCGTCCTTCATCACGCACCCTTGCGATGGGCGGTGCAAGGCAATTTTGACCCTTTTCAGATGGTCTTATCGGAGTTACGCTGGCCTCGTAAGCAAGCAAAGCCACGCTTTTCAGTGAAGTACTCAGCACCCGGTATACTTACTAAAGCCAAACCAGGATCCCAAAAAAAGAGCAAATCCGTATATTGCCCTTTCTGGCAGTGGGGCCGGAGAGTTTTCAACCATCCCGGCCTCTTCCCTTCAGCTTCGGGGGCGGAGGGGCGGGGGGCGGGACACACGGTGAGAAGCAGTTAGAAGTTTCTGGGCACGCTCCTCTCGGAACCACCCCGGTACGCGCGGGTGCGGGACGCGAGACCGCAC